TCTCTTACTTTGGACATATTGTCAGGAGGGACCAGTCAATGGAGAAGGGTATCATGTTTAGTAAGGTGGAGGGTTGGAGAAAAAGAGGAAGACCCTAGTGAGATGGATTGGCACAGTAGCAGCAGCAATGGGCTCAGGTCTAGCAACGATTGTAAGGTTGGCCCAGGACTGGGCAGTGTTTTGTTCTGATGTGCACGGGGTCGCTATGAGTTGGTACTGACTTGATGACATCTAACAATAATAACATTATTATTTCTAAAATTTTAAATTGTGGTTTGGGTAAAGGTTACAGAACATGTTAATTTCCAGTCAATAATTTACACATATTTTCTTCTGTAACATAAATTGCAATTCCTTCAATGTAACAGCACTTTTCTTGTTTCCTCTCTGGGTTCCGTGTTCCATGTGTCCTTCTTTCCTGGCCCTTCCTGCCTTCTGAGCTTTGTTTTTGGGCAAATATTGCCCTATAAGTTTCACATGGTTGATTATTCTGAGGCATATATTCCTCATGATTCACTATTTACTTTATACATTGGATTGTTGTTTACTCTAAAGGTAATCTATGGGTTATGTTCACTTCCAGGTCTAACTAATCTACATTTTAATTAATCAAGTATGTGGAAATTATTTTCAAAATCCTCATAGTTTATGGATGTACAGACACATGCACTATTACTACATGTTGTTAAGTGTCATCAAGCCAGTTTGTACTCAAAGGAGCACTGTATAGATTTTCCAGAGTGGTTGGTGGGTTTGAATCATCGACCTGGGTTCTAGTCCTTATCCTAGAGCACCACACCAAGATTCTATAGGTACTTTAAAATTACTGCAACTATACTCTACGTAAGATGATTGTTGATCAGACTTCAAGGATATTGAACCCATGATGACTGCTTTTGATGCAAATTTTTTTGTTTTGTTATTATACACCATTGAGTTGGTTCTAACTCATCCCCATGACAAAACAATACATGGTTCTGAGCCACTCTCACAATTGCTGTTTGAGCCCATTTTTGCAGCCACTGCATCAATCGATTTGTTGAGGGTCTCTTTCTCCAGTCTCTATTTTACCAAGTACGATGCCAATCTTCAGAGTCCCAGTGATAATACGTCCACAGTATGTGCGACAAAGTCTTGCCCTCCTCCCTTACAAGCATTCTCTTAAGAGTCCTTCTAAGGGGACTTCCACCAAGACAGCGGCCCTGGTGTGGCACTGTAGGATAAGCAGTGGACTGTTAACCACAAGGTGAGCAGTTCAAGGTCGCTATGAGTTGGAACCAACTCAACAGCACTTAACAATAGCAAATGAAGACAGTTTTGGTGTGGCTCTGTGGGTTAATGCACTGGACTGCAAGGTCGGTTTGAACCGCAAGGTCAGCAGTTCAAGCTCACCAGTTGCTCCTTGAAAACCCTATACAGGATTGCTATGGATCGGAACTGACTTGATGGTATTAACAACAAGACAAATTACATTTAGATGATAGGTTTTCTAGATAGTGGTGGTAGCACAGATGATAGCACCATTTGGAATTCCAAAATTGACTAAAGAGATTATTAAGCTAATATGTTATCTGATCATCAATATGTTGGGTTCAACCTAAAAGCAATTCTGAGATGCCTTTTGTTTTTTAATTTCACATTGCTTCTGTCCAACTCTTGTCACTTTCTTTACAGGGAACCAGGAAACCAGACAGGGCTTCTGGTATTTCTCCTCCTGGGACTTTCTGAGAAGAGAAGCCTTTGTTTTGGATTGTTCCTTTCCATGTACCTGAACACCGTGCTTGGGAATCTGCTCATCTTAGCCATCACCTTGGACAATCATCTACACATGCATGTGTACTTCTTCCTCTTCATCTGTTTTTTTCCTGACACTTGTTTCAACCCTATCATTGTCCCAAAGATGCTGCCAAACATCCAAATGAAGAACACACTATGAAAGCTGCATCCAACAGATGTACATTTTCTCAATGTTTGAATTTAGACTTGTTTCTGAGTACGGACTTTGTGGCTGTCATCCCCTGCACTATACAAAGTCATCATGAATTCCTGATATCTCAGTATGCTGGAGGCCCTTCAAGAAATTTCTACTGTGTTTCTGCTTCTTTCTGAACAGTCACTGAAATCCCTCACTATATCTGTGAAATATTTCTACTTCAATACCTTCATCAATAGTATTTTGTTATATATTTTAATGGAGTACTGGTGTGGCATTGTGAACCACAGTCTGAACCATAATGTCAGTGGTACAAGCTCACCAACTGCTCCTCGGAAACCCTATACAGGATCACTATGTGTCTGAACTGTCTCAAAGGCACTTGACAACAACAACAACAATATATTTTAACAGGCATCATAGGCTTTTTTTCCCCTCTTGCTGGGATCTTTTTCTTATTAGCACAAATAGTTTCTTCTGTACTGAGCATCTCAAAAGAAGGGAAGTAAGTTAGTTATGCAGTGCTGTTATAAAAGAAATACCACAAGTGGGTACCTTTAACAAACACAAATTTATTTTTCCATACTTTAGAAGGCTGATTTGAATTCAGGGTTCTGATTTCAGGGGAAGCCTTTCTCTCTTTGTTGCCTCTTTGAGAAGGTCCCTGTGCCTTCTTTGCTTCTGTTTCTCAGTTCCTTGCTGATCTTCCTACGGACTGACATTTATCTTCCCCATCTCAGCTCGCTTGCATGGCTGCTTGTTCAGTTTGCTCTTTTTATATTTCAAAGTAGATTGACTTACGTAATAAGTTTTCTGATATTTCAAAATTATTAATGCTATCTACAGGAATACTACACCACTAACTTAATAAAACCAAATCCCAAATGGATTTTAATCACAGGCATAAGGATTAGGATTTACAACACATATTTCGGAGGGACAAAATTCAGTCCATACCAACCCACCCTTTGAATCCCTACCCCAAATCCATGTCCTTCCACATTTAAGCATAGCCACATCATCACAGCATCCCAACAAGCTTCAATCAACTCCAATTCTAAAGTCCCACCTTCTGAATCATCTAAGTCAAATATGAGTGGAACTTTAGGCATATTCCTCTTCATCTGAAAATCTGTGAAATCTACTTTTCTGATTCCAAAGTAAAACAGCAGAAGAGGCAAAAAGTTGATATTCCCATTACTAATGGGAAAATTAGAGGGATACAGGATAATGGGCACCAAATAAGTAAAAATTCAGCAGAATGTTTTTTAGTTCTTAAGCCTTGACAATAAACAATTCCCTAAGAACATTTGGGTAATGGCTCTACCCACTCTGGTTTTTGGCCATGCTTTCCGGAGTCTAGGTGAAGGGCCCTTGGTCCTGGGCATCAGACCTACTTTCCAATCCCACAGGGGCAGTAACTCTGTTCCCTGGACTTTGTTGTTGTTGTGTGCTGTGGAGTCAGTTCTGACTCATAGAGACCCTGTACAGGGTTCCCAAGGTTGTAAATCTTTACGGGAGCAGAAAGCCTTACCTTTCTCCCGCGGAACAGCTGGGAGTTTCAAACTGCTGACCTTGCGGTTTGCAGCCTGATTCAAAATCACTATGCTACTAGAGTCCTGGACTTTAGGTAGCCCTATTCTCCTAGTCTATCTGTGTAGCGAACCCGCCCAATTGACCATAACAGCATTGTTCTCCTGAGTCATGGGCATGACAGCCCACTCCCTCAGCTAAGAGCATCGGTCACATTCTCTTGGCTCACCTGAACGGCAGACCCACATTCCAGAGCGGAGTTTGTGGAGATTTAACTTCGAAACTTAGCAGGCCGTGGCTCCACCTTTTGGGACCAGAAAGTCTTGACTCTGCCATTTGAAACCTGGAAGGCTACTTTCAGTGTTCTTTCCAACAGTTTTGTTAATATCAGAATTGCTCTAGGGATGGTCCTTTTCTTAGAGGACAGCAGATGTAGCCTGTCGAATTCCAATGGGCAGTTTTCCTTCCTTTTTGCCTTTTCTCTGCTCCTTTTATTCTAAGATCATGGGTTTTCAATTATGGTGGTTGGTCAGTTACAGACTTAATCTCTAAGATTGAGTCACCAGACCATGGTGAGACTCTTAGGGCACATGCCCTTAGTGTATAAAACAGAATTTTTCAAATGTTTAAGTTCTGTCCTCATTTTGCATTTTTAAAAATCTGTTTTTACTTTTTTGTAATTTGGGTGAAAGTTTAGAGAAAACAAAATTTCCATTCAACAATTTATACACATTTGTTTCATGATACTTATTGCCTTCCTCATTATGTAAAATAACTCATCACACTTTATCCCTGGGTTTCCCATTTTCATCCTCTGTCTTTCCCATCCCTTCCTGTCTTCTGAACTTTGACTCTGGGCAAATGCTGACCTTTTGATCTTTCATGGCTGATTATTAAGGAGTATCTCCTTAGTGTTATTGTTCGCTCTATAGGCCAGTCTATTTTTTGGCAGAAAATTTAGCAATGTGGGTGATTTAAATCCCAAGATTGAAGGGTGTCTAAAGGCCATATTATTCAGGTGTGGTGCTGTGGGTTAATACATTGGACTGCAAAGGCGGTTTGAAAGGCAAGGTCAGTGGTTCGAATTCACCAGCCACTAATAAGGAATAACAAAGTAGCATTGACACATTTGAGTTATAGTGTTATAAATAATACAGAATATACTATGGACTTCCAGAAGAAGGAACAAGTATGTCTTGGAAAAAGCACAGCCCGACTGTTTCTTAGAAGTGAGGATGATGAAACTCTTGACTTATGAATTTTGAACATGTTATAAGGAGGACCCAGTCCCTGGGAAAGACATCATGCTTGGTAAAGTAGAGCATCAGTAAAAAAAGAATGAGATAAATTGACACAGTGGCTCCAACCATGGACTCAAATCTATGAATGACTGGGAGGAAAGCACAAGACCAGGCAGTACTCCATTCTATTGTGCATGGGATTACAGTGAGTTGAAACTAACTCAATGGCACCTAACAACATTTCTTACATTCATAAGATTTCTGTCCATTGTGAGTTATTATATGTGTATTGAGGTTTGATGATTTACTAAAGGCTTTTCCACACTCTTTACATCCATAAGGCCTCTCTCCACTGTGAGTTCTTATATGTGTAGTAAGAGCGGAGGAATCACTAAAGGCTTTCCCACATTCCTTGCATTTATAAGGCCTCTCTCTGCTGTGAGTTCTTATATGTGTAGTGAGGTGTGAAGCCTGACTAAAGGCTTTTCCACATTGTTTACATTCATAAGGCCTAACACCACTGTGAGTTCTTATATGTGTAGTGAGGGATGAAGAACGACTGAAAACTTTCCCACATTCATCACATTCATAGGGCTTCTCTCCAGTGTGAGTTCTTATATGTGCAGTGAGGGTTGAGGAATCACGGAAGGCTTTCCCACATTCCTTACATTTATAAGGCTTCTCTCCACTGTGAGTTCTTATATGTGTACTAAGGGCTGAGGAGTCACTAAAGGCTTTCCCACATTTGTTACACCCATAAGGTCTCTCTCCGCTGTGAGTTCTTTTATGTGTAGTTAGGTGTGCGGCCTGACTAAAGGTTTTCCCACATTGCTTACATTCATAAGGTCTAACTCCGCTGTGAATTCTTATATGTGTAGTGAGGGATGAAGAACGACTAAAGGCTTTCCCACATTTGTTACACTCATAGGGTCTCTCTCCAGTGTGAGTTCTTATATGTGTACTGAGGGCTGAGGAATCACTAAAGGCTTTCCAACATTCTTTACATTTAAAAGGCTTCTCTCCACTGTGAGTTCTGATATGAGTAGTGAGGTTTGATGAACACCTAAAGGCTTTCCCACATTCCTTACAGTCAAAAGGCCTCACTACACTGTGAGTTCTTGTATGTTGACTGAGGGATGAGGAATCACTAAAGGCTTTCCCACATTCCTTACATTCAAAAGGCCTCACTACACTGTGAGTTCTTGTATGTTGACTGAGGGATGAGGAATCACTAAAGGCTTTCCCACATTCCTTACATTCATCATAAGGCTTAGCACTGTTTTGAATTTTTTTATGTAAAATGAGTGATTGAAGACTATAGGTTTGACAACATTCTTTACATTCACGCTTATGACTGCTCATGTGTGTCCGACAGGATAAGAAAGTACATAAATGTTTTCCACAATTATTACATTTATAGCGTTTCTCACCAGTGAGTGTTGTCACAGGATTTTGTAGAGATAAACTATAAATGAAATCATTCCCACATACCTTACATTTATGTATTTTTTTCCTACTAACAGTTCTTACAGGAGTGATAAGGGTAGAAGGACAATTGTAGGCATCTTCACATTTCTTACACGAACAGGTATTGCATCCATTGTGAGATCTGCTATGATGTTTATAGGATGAATGATCCATGAAAGCATTTCCAAATTCACAGTATTCAATAGGATTTACTTCTGGAGGATTTCCTTTTAACGGAGTAAGATTGGGAATCTGGATGACGGTTTTCCCACATTGATTGATTTCATTACTTCCACAGAGGTTCTCTACCATATGATTTCTGTTAAAAATAGGCAACATGTTGTTGAAAATAAATTTGTTCTGATCTCACCATGAGTGAAAACATAGTGAACATGCATGATTGTACCCTAAGTAGAGTTGTTTCATAGGTTAAATCCTATAACAGAAATACTACCTCTACTGTTATGTTGTTCTAATAGATGAGGCTTTCTGACAACTGTGTTCAAGTGAAGAATGTTTCAAATATTAGATATTAACTTACATTTATGAAATGCTCTATATCAAATATTCTCTTAACACAATTTTACAACTAGGTACATGTATAATAAGCACTAGAATGTGAATGACAAGGCCAGCATTTTGAATTCACCAATTGCTCCTCAGGAAAGATGAGGCTTTGTGTTCCTGAAAAGACTGAAAAAGCCTCAGAAACTCTATGCAGGATTGCTAGGAGTTGGAATTGACTCAATGACACTTAACAACAATAACATATACATAGAAATACACACATTACTACACATATCTATGCATTTTAACATCATGAAAACACCTTCTCCTTAGCCATTATTTTCTCTTCTTTGAATGACACTCACCGTAAATGTCTTCCCTGGTTTTTACGTTGATCTTTATTGACATGCCGTTTGAAGACTTCTAACATGGAGGACCAGGTACTATTCTTGATGAATCGAACCATTACTTGCTCACTAGGTAACTTTTCTCCACTATTAATGTTATGAGAGACTGAACCAAAAATTAAAAAGTTGAGGTTCATAATATGAAACAGAAAGGAAAGAAATTATTAGAAGGAGAGAAAAAAAGGCTGATGTGATAAAAGAAATAACTTAGACAGATTTCGTTGTTTCAGTACTTTGGCAATGATTAAAACAGATTCCTAGGCAATACTTCCATAAGGTTGGAAAGTGATGGTGACATAAAGAGGTGGAATTAGGAGAGCTAGGCAAAAAGTTATTGGAAATAATACGGATGTCTCATTAAATGAGGAAAAGGGTCTCCACGACTACAGGTGCAAAAAGACTGCAAAAGTCCAAAAGCTTAGCTAAGGTATTTGTGAAGTTGTCTCCAGATCCCAAAAGAGACATTTTCTAGCTGACTGATTATAATGTCATTCCTACACGTAGGGCTGGTCATTCCAAAATTCTAGCTTTCCTAGTGCTTCCTGACAGTTACGCACAGTGAGTACCATCTCCATAGTCTTTAGATCTTTTCCTGTTTCTCTGAGAAAACATGGGTATAACGGACATAGTGCTTTTAGAAAAATGAACATCACGAAAGAAGAAAGTGCACAGCCTGACAAGGAATCAAAACTTTGTTCTTTTGAGTCTTTGAAGATGGACAGGTGTGAGTCTGTCGGTATCAAAATAAGTCAAACTTGTAATAAACACAGTAAAACTCTCTTGTTGTTGTTAGATGCCATAGAGTCAGTTCCAATTCAGCAACCCTATGAAGAGCAGAATGCAACACTGCCCAGCCCCCATGTCATCCTCCTCACCATTGTTGTTATGCTTTAGCCCATTGTTGCTGCCTCTGTGCCTGTTCATCTGGATGGAGGTTTTCCTCTTGTTCACTGACCCACCACTTTACCAAGCACAATGTCCTTTGGGGACTGGTTCTCCTGGATAACACGTCTGAAGTATGAGAGAAACCGTTTAGCCAATCAGGTTTCTAAGGAGCATTGCAGCTGTACTTCTTCCAACACAGATTAGTTTGTTCTTCTGGCAGTCCATGGTAGTTTTAATATTTTTTCCAATACCATAACTCAAATGCATCAATTCTTCCACAGTTTTCATTAATCACTGTCAAACTTTGACATGCATATGAGGCTACTGAAAATGCCATGGCTTGGGTCAGGAGCACCTCAGTCCTCAAACTGATATCTTTGCTCTTGAACACTTTAAAGACATCTTGTGCAGCAGATTTGTCTAATGCAATATGTCCATCATTTGATTTCTTGACTGCTGCTTCCATGAGTGCTGATAGTTGATACGAGCAAAATGAAGCCTTTGACATACAGTGAGGTCCATGCGTATGTTTGAAAAAAGGATTTGCAATGATAAGTCATTGGTCTTGCAAAATTCTATCATGCGATCTGCAGCATCAGTTCTGTCACAAGGCCATATTTTCCAACTAGTGATCCATCCTCTTTCTTTCAACTTTCACATTCCATAAAACACTCTACAAGGCCCTAAATCATAAATTTCCCTGTGTTCCAAAGTGAGTCCTGAAACCAATACTTCATTTACAGCTTTTAATCACAAGATAAATGAAAACTCACTTCGATACAAAGAACTTTATTTTCATGGATAAGCCTGGATAAAAGAGCTTCAAATACCAAGGGAACATGCCTATTTTTTATTTAAGAATTTATTCTCATTTCTCAGCCCAAATACTGAAGCAACATAGATGAGCAAAATATTATTATCCACTAACAGAATTGTTTTTGTTTTTACAAATGATGCTATTCTTACCTACTGAGGCCAGGTTTCTGAAGGTTTCTATCATCACATCTCTGTAGAGTTTCCTCTGAACAAGATCCAGCAAAGCCCACTCTTCCTGGCTAAAGACCACGGCCACATCCTCAACAATCACAGAGTCCTAAAACATTGCACACATTTTGGATCAGCATGGTACTATGCATGCCAATATGAGCAAGAACAAAGGGTGAGGATGATAGTCCTGGGAAACTGAGAACTCATAAGGATTTGACACAAGGGGCTAGCCATCAGCCTCGTTTCCCTTTCATTAACTACTTTCACTTCCATACTGTCTGCATCCTATCTCAGACTTCCAATGCACTGAAATAATCTCTCCATAGTTTGCCTACAATCCATCTCTATGGTCTATAACAGCTAGAAAATAATAGAAATTTAAGAAATGCCCTAATTCAGAACATCACTTCCTAGTGAACAAACAATTACATTGACATTCATAAGACCCACCAAAAAGTTCAACAAAACATAAAGCTCAAGGTGAAGAGAGGATGAGATATTAAAAAACACAAAACTACAGAATGGCAGTTTTTCCTTTTGCCACTCATAGCCATGGGAGGTCCAGGGGCCCATACAAACAATCCGGTATCCCAGTACTCTCAGTTGTTTTATATCTTCTTTAACTCTAGGAGATCAGGAGTTAACATGTCCATCTGCTGGAAATAATACTCTTTTGGAGATTTAAGAGGTTTTATACATCAGGCATCTATTTTTCAAAAACTAAGTTGTTCTATCATCCTCTTTGCCCCTTTCTTACAGACAGGTAGAGATAATAAAAGTTTAAAAGAGTTCACCTGAGGAGAAAATTTGATAATATAGATCTCCACAAAATTCTCAAATTTCAAGACCATGATGCAACTGTACACCAATGATTAGTGACTACTGTACTCAATGAACATAAACATGTACCCTAACAAAAACACATTAAATCTGTGGAGCTCTGGTAGCAGAGTGGTTACGAATCAGGCTGTGAACCTCAGGGTCAACAGTTCGAAACTACCAGCTGTTCCGCGGGAGAAAGATGAGGCTTTCTGCTCCCGTAAAGATTTATAGCCTCAGAAAGCCTGTACAGGGTCGCTGAGTCGGAAACTGACTCCACAGCACATAACAACAACAACAAAAACAGTCTACCGTTACAAGATGACAAAGAGCAAATCTGCAGAAACAAAAGACAGCATGCCCTTACGTTTGCTGACGGAGAGGGAAAGGTTATGAGTCCCAATTTGTAATGACTGCAGTGTGATAAACATAATCAATTTGACTAAGCTATACATGTGCCTTAGTTATCTAGTGCTATTATACAGAAATACCACCAGTGGATAACTTTAACAAATAGAAATTGATTTTCTCCCAGTTTAGGAGGCTAGAAGTCTAAATTCAGATTGCCAGAACCAGAGGAAGACTTTCTCTTTGTCAGCTCTATAGAAAGGTCTTTGCTCTTTTTAGCAACTGTAGGTCCAACATTTGTTGGAGATATCCATGGATCTTAGCATCAATTGTCCTCTGGATCTAGAAGCTTCACAGTGGAGCCACCTCAGGTTCAAAGGAAACTCTTCACTTCCAGCTCTTCTTTCTTGGTGATATTAGTTCCCTCTGAGTTCTGCTTGCTTGTTTAGTCTCTTTTATGTCTCAAAATATAATCATAACAAAGTCTGGATAATATTTCAGAAAACAGGGGGAAAAGAAAAGCTCAATATCATTAGCTAAAACAAGGCCGGGGCAAACTGTGGAACATACCACCAATTGCTCATATGCAAGTTCAGGATGAAGTTGAAGAAAATTAAAACAAGTCCATGAAATATGACCTTGAACATATCCCACCTTAATTTAGAGACCATCTCATGAACAGATTTAATGTGTTAGGCACTAATGACAGAAGAATGGAAGAGTCATGGGATGACATCAAGAACGTCATACATGAAGAAAGCAAAGGTCATTAAAAAGACAGGACAAAAAGAAAAGAGCCAGGTGGATGTCAGAAGAAACTCTGAAACTTGCTTTAGAACATAGAAAAGCTAAAGTAAATGGAAGAGCTGATAAAATCAAAGAGCTGAATGGGAACTGTCAAAAGGCAGCTCAGGAAAACTAAGTCAAAAATTATAATGAAATGTACAAAGACGTGGAGTTGGAAGACCAAAAAGGAAGAACTCACTAAGCATTTCTCAAGCTAAAAGAACTGAAGAAAAAAAAAAATTCAAGCCCGACTCAACAATACTTAATAACAATGAGTTAAAGATTGAATGCTGCAGAAAATATCAAAGAAGATGGAAAGAATACACAGTCAACACAGGCATTGTACCAAAAGAATTTGAAAAATTTCAGTCATTTCAACAGGTATCATATAATCAAGACTGATGGAGAAGCCCAAACAGCACCGAAGGCATGTGGTGAAAAACAAGGTGCCAGGAATTGACAAAACAGAAACTGGAACCCTTCAACAAACTGATGCATCACTGGAAGTACTCATCCATCTATGCCAAGAAATTTGAAAGACAGCTAACTGGCCAACCGACTGGAAGAGATCCCTATTTGTGCCCATTCCAAAAAAAGGTGATTGAACAGAATGTGGAAATCGTTGAACTTTAATGTCACATGTAAATAAAACTTTGCTGAAGATAATTCTTGGCATAGACTAATGAGTGCTTACAGCTCTGCATCAGTTTTGTTTAAACATTTCAATTTGCATTTTGTCAATTTCTGGAGCCTTGTTTTTTGCTAAAGCCTTCAGTATAGCTTGGACTTCTTTCTTCAATACTACTTGCTCTTGATCAAACACTACCTCCTGAAATGGTTGGATGTTGAACAATTCTTTTTGGTACAGTGACTCTACATACTTCTTCCATTTTCTTTTGATGCTTCGTCCAATATTTTGAATTCTGCTCCCTTCCTATGCACTTCCTCACACTCCCCTCCTGCTGCCTTCACCAGTTCCCTCCACTTCCATAAGAAGCTCCAGTTGTAGTACCAACAGCAACAGCAATGAGGCCAACTGGAAGCAGGCTCCAAAGGTTTTTAAATAGTGTTCACACAACATTTACATCACATAACATTCTAATTCACAGCATGTATGTTGGACATTAGACTTCACATACCTCTGTATGTATGTGAATATATAAAATACCAACTGTCCATACTTTATATGGAAAATGCAACAAGAAATGGGATAAGCAGCAAGTAACACGAGTGTTATTGGCTTTAGTAAGTTAATACAGGCAACAAAATCATCTTAGAAAGTAGCTAGTGAAAACTGGGCTTGGTAAGTGAAATCAAGATCGCACATTCAATTCTAAAATCTTCGAAGCAAATTCTTATGATTTTGTAGGTACTCATATACATTTCACATGCTCATTGACTTCAGTAAGTCTCAACGAAGAGACACAAGAGTCAAAGGGCTCCACTGACCTTCGTGCCCAGGAAAGAAAAGATACATTGCTTACACCCAAAAAAGAAAAGGACATACATCATCAGTAAGCAAAACATATAAATTTGGGAAACTGGAAAAACTAAAACAACAAAGGGATAGTATAAAGAAAGTAACATTAAAATAAAGACCAAAGTAATGAGATAAAATACAAATAAAACTCCCAGCTTATGGTTTGATACATGAGGAGCTTGAAAGTCATCCCCCTCATCTACACAAGAAACTATCTCAACATACTGAACTCAGAAGGCTGAAGTCACAGGGCAAACTGCTGCCCCCAAACTAGTATACATAAACCTTGATAGAGAATCATTCCAAAAGCCAAGGAGCAGGAACCAACTCAAGGATCATTAACAGCAGAGGAAAACTTAAAATGCAATTGATGGATTATTAGAGGCTTAATCTGGACAAAATTCACGGTAAAAGATGCTACCAATGCCCAATCTTAGGAGCACAACAGAGTTTTCTGAGTTTTACCTGCAGGGACTCAATCAAGTCTTTGATGTGGAAGACGAAAAGCAACTGTTTTGAAAATTTTCTGGAGAATTTTCTTTTCCTTGACGAGGCCTGCCCACATGGGAACAAAGTCTAACTGAACTGCAAGAGTGAAATACCGAACATCAGCCATTCCTGGGCTTCCTGTCTCACCAAAGTGGGTGAGAAGCCCTTGTATGGCACTGCCCAGGGGCACAGGCTCACTCAAAGACTGAGCTTTATTCTCTGGACTACACCAGGATTCCCCCTTTGACACATCTTACCACTACATTGATAGGACTATTATATGAGATTAAAACAAAAGTAATTGTGAAGTCTCAGACCTGATTTAAGAAGTCTCTCAGAAACCCACACATGACAGGGAACTAAAAACAAGAACAGCAGTGGAGCTGACAACTCCCTCCAAACCCAAATCCTCACTGCCACGGAGTCAATTCTGATTCACAGTGACAGGTGTTTGAGGCTTTAAGTCTTTGCAGGAGCAGAAAGCCTCATCTTGCTCCCACAGATTGGCTGGTGGTTTTGAACTGCTGGCCTTGTGGTTAGCTGTCCAGCGCTTATTACACAGTGCCACCAGAGTTCTAGTTACAACAACCAACACCAAAAACTGAGCCATTGCCACTGAGCTGATTCCTACTACTAGAGACCCTATACGGAGTCCAGGTGTGGCACTGGGGGTTAATGCACTGGCCTGCAAAGTCGGTTTGAACCACAAGGTCAGCTGTTCAAGTTCACCAGCCGCTCCTAGGAAACCTTATACAGGGTCACAGTGGGTAGGAACCAACTTGACGGCATTTAACAACAATAACAACAAGAGATGCTATATAGAGTTTCTGAGACTGAAAATTTTTTCAGGAAGAGAAAGTCTCCTTTTTCTCCCACAGAGTGGCTGACGGGTTTGAACTGCTGACCTTGTGACAAGCAGTCTACTGAGTATCCTACAGTACCACCAGAATGAATACAGCTTCAGTTCTAGTCAGATAAAAAGAAAACATCACATTAAAGGCCTATTGATTTGCCTTATTTCCTTTTACTTAGCACATAATCTCTAGCTTTCAACAAAAAGCTACTAGTCATACTAAAGACAAAAACACATCTTGAAGGTACAGAGAGGGCATAAAAATCAGTCTTGGATACAGCACAGATTTTGGAGTTATCAGACTAAAACTTACTAAAAACAACTATAATTAATATGCTAGGGGTGCTAACAAAGTATATATAATGCAACAACACATGGGAAATGTAAGCAGAGATGAGAACTGTAAAAAAAGAAACCAATGGAAATGTCAGAAATCAAAACATTTAGCAAAAATAAAAAAGACCTTTAACAAGTTCATCAAATGACAAGACAAAGCCTAAGAAAAAATCACTGAGATTGAAGATATGCTAATAAAACTCTCAAAACTGAAATTCAAAGAGACAAAGAATGAAAGCAATACAACAATATCTAAGAAGGTGGTACAAATACTAAAAGTGGGCCATCCAAACACTGGTAATACCAGAAAGGAAACAAACAGAAGAAATATTTGAGGTATTACAGACGTAGGCAATTTAGGAAATTAATGACCCACATCAAACCAAAGATTCAGGAAGTTCAGGGAACACCAAGGAGGATAAATATCAACAAACTAAAGCTAGTACACAAGAATTAAGGAGAAAATACGAAAGAATCCCATCAGACTTGTCTTAAGAAACCATACAAAGAGACACTGAAATGAATATTTAGTGTAGAGAGAGAAAAAAAACAACCCAACCAAACTAGAATTCTGTATCCTCCAAACTTATCGTTCAAATGGAAAGAAGAAAAAAAAAAGGAAAATAACAAATGTTGATAAAAAATGTGGAGGAACTGGAATCATCATCCAGTGCTGATAGGAATGCAAAATGGGATAGCCACTGTGAAAAAGTGTGGCAGTTCCTCAAAAAGCTGACTAT